TGATGTCCTTTTAGTTCTACATGATCAACATTTACCATTCCATGATCAATGTCTTTTCATGTATTGTTCTGCCTTTCTTTATTTTGTTTAGCCTTATTCACTTTCTTGCCACCTAGTTTATTATTGAAACGATTCTTGTTGTCATGGCAAGTAGAGCTGACTCAGTTTCAACACCCTTAAGTTGCTCCCCTTCAATCATACAAAGTGTTAACAGCTGGTTAATGCCACATTTAACTTCTTGTGAATTCTAATTCACCTTGAAAAACTGAAAAAACCTAAGCAGAGAATAGATCACCATATGGACTAATAACTTATCATTAAATATGATTCCCTACTACCTCAGATTATTTACCAGCTTGCACATCTTATAGATGTACTTCTTCATTAAACCATTGCCATCATATCTGACTAACAAAACCATGTCAGATAATAGTATTGTAGTTGCTTCTTAATGCCCATTAACTCTTTCTTGATAAAATCAATAAGCTCATTGGCAGTATCAAAAACCAAAATACCCCCTGAATAGTATCACAAATAGAAACATAAATTAATCTAATGGCATGGTAGTTCCTTTAGTCCACCTAAAAAAAAATGCAACAACTTTTCTACCTAAGAAAACTCTACACTGGGCACATGGGTTTCTTCTAAAAAAAAACAGACTCGTAGTCCAAGAAACCCAATATAATATCAAAATCTATCTTCTAGGCAATATAATTTTAACCATTCAATGGTTCAATCCCTATGAGCTATCTTTAAATTGCGGAAGCGTCGTAACCTAAATAAATGTTATATTGAATAACACCACATAAACAACATATAAAATAATATGTCATAGCTTTATGGATTATTACTTTAATTCGTGTTTGGGGTTTTAAGCCGAATTTTTCAGGATGTTTTACTATGTGCAAAAATTATCTACCCTGCGGGAACAGATTAAAAATGTCATCTAAAAATCACCTTTTGGCAAAATTTTAGATTTTACTTTACCTCCCAAACCTGCGATAAAATCACACATAAACCTATTAGATTATACTTGAATTATTGCTAAACACTTCCACTACCTTTTGGCAAGAGGGTAATTTAGTTATAATTCAACTACTCTCAAATATTATACTCATTTATCCCACTCTAAGACACTGATCACCTTTTGGCAGAACAAATGCCCTCGTGTAGGTAAGTGCACTGTGAGACCTCAGTAAGACCAATGCCTTAAAATTTCAAAATAATAACTTCAGTGAGAGTGTCACCTTTTGGCAGGCATCACCCACTTTGGCTACCATCTTTGAAACGGTCACTTTACCGGTCTTCCTAAACCCCAGGGAACCTATATTGCAAAAGTTCAATTTATTTAAGTTAAACAATTTCTTTATAATGCACATAAACTAAACCCAAATATCATGAAACACTTGATTTTTCTGTAATATAAATGACTTTAACACAAATAAAATTAAGTCTCCTCATACATATCAAGAAATTACAGTGAACAAATATATCAATAACATGCATATCTATCAAGATTTAAAATCTCAATTCTTTATATTCTTTAATTAAAAGAAAATAATAAAAAACTTGATGTATGTATATTATATATTCGATAAATAATTTAAAGTACTTGAATTTTTAAATCAACTCAAATCAATTAGGTTAATACTGCTTACTTACATAAGCCCTATATATTCTTTAACCTTGAAATAAATAATTCATAACTTGATTCTTTAGTAACAATCAGTGAAACTCAATATTATGCATCCTTCAATAACCATGTCCACTGAAAATAACTTTATATGCAACAATAAAAATAAAATAAAATACACACTAATTCACACGTTGAACCCTTAAACCAAAACCAATCTTCTAGATTAGTTTTGAAGGAAAGATAAAACCTTAGAGTTATCTTTTCATGAACACATTAATTCATATATATATATATAGTTAAACCTTTCAGCTTCATGCATATCAATACACTGTTCACTCAAATCAAGACATTTTTCATTGTACATCTATTATTGGATATTCCAATAAACAATTCAAAGTCTATTTGAATCCTGAATAAAAGTATAATAATTTTTTTTTCATTGTCATCCAATGGATATGTACAAAGCTAATATATATATATAAAATCATGCATATAAAGTCTGGACTTTAAAAAAAAAACAAGCCATTTATCCCATATTCACTTTTATACAGTCATATATTTATATATATATTTTTAGAACAAAGTATAATACAGTAATACTTATTTTTGTATGATCATGTCAACTGGGTTAGAGTTAAGCAATATCCATGAAAATAACAATAAAATAATAATGTTATTCAATGCTTTATTGATGAAATTTTGAATTGCTTTCTGTAAGTGATTGGAGAACATCCATGGCGTTGCTAGCCCAAATTGTTTTTTATTAAGCCAATTAATAAAATATTATTTTATTCTCTTCAATTGAATTCAATTCATGTAAACAGCTTAATAGAAAAACCAAGCCAGTCTCCAAGTCACAAAAGGCAGCATGTACTTGGAAACAGTAAACAAGTACCAAATTGGATTGTGCTTAAAGCTTTCTCGCTCTGCGTGTATAAAATAGCATTTGATATGTAATTGCCATGTTAATATATTCTTTACCTTTTGTTTCTATTCATCACAAATAACACATGTTATCCATGATACAAAGGCATAATTTAAAACCCCAAAATCATTAAACAGAGAAGCGAATCTCGTAATCATGGAGTTAACTATCACCATCGACATCAATATAATTTGTGCAATATTTGTTTATGATTTCTACACTAAAAAAATTTTAAACCCTAACTCTCTGATACCAATTGTTGGGTTTAAACAATAAATAACATGTAGAAATGAAAATTGATCATAAATCAAAGAGCATACCTGATTAGAAGATTAAACTTTAGATACCTTTTGAGAATTCCTTAGTGGCCTTTGAGAGATCTGAAAAATTAGAGCGCTTTACTCATTTTGAAAGTTGTCGATATGATAGGTCGGTTTTAAAACCCTTAAATATAACAACAACAGGGGAGACGACTTCTCTACAAACAAGCATACTTAAGTCTCCATTCTTATCATGAAAACTTAGATATTAATGGTTAGAATTAAATCACACCAAATAAGTTGAAAAATCACAATCCAACTGTATAAAACCATAATCCCAATTAGACTACCAAATTGAAAAATACAACCCAATCCATCAAGTATCAATAATTATATTGGAATCTTATTTTAGAAAACGTAGTGCATGAGACCATAAAATAATTTTTATTATATATACATAAAAATTTCCAACATGGGCTTGCCGCTTTGATGTCTTTAGGGTGGGCAATTATTTCTGAATATGGGCATGCTTGGGGGCAAATTCCTCTGCTGAGCCCCTCCGTTCAATAAACCTGGCGTTGAGCTGCGCGCCGATTTGAGATGGTTCTTCAAAGACTTTTCTTTCTCTTTCATCCAGCTCAGCAGAGTCCCCTATTTCAGCATAAGATAAGATTCTGGCCATCAAGGAGGAGTTGTTTCATCCAATCTTTCTCATTGGAACTCGTCACATGTCATCTTTCTATTTGGCTAAAAATAATAGGATAAACAACATTGTTTTTTATTTTTTAATTTTTTCATATTATATATGGTCACTGAACCAATATACACTTAGCATCTCTTTTAGCGACGAACACTGAGTTGGTGGATGTCACCATGAATTGTTTACGTTTCATGTTATCATTTTTCGTGTTGAAACTTTATTAAGCGTTACTTGATGAAAAATGCTACACGGGTCTGGTAGATCATGCCTAGACAGGGTATTTGTTCATCTAATTATGTTTTTCTTTTATTTAATCTATTACACATCATATTAACTGAATGCGCAATCAAAACCTTTTAATACCAACACTGCTGAAATTACTACAGTAGAAGAACAGAAGTGATAGGATTCCAAATTAGATTGAAGATTATGATGTTATAACTATGTAAGTGTAATTTAATTTTTGTGGTTAATAAGATTATTTCTTATGTGTTTGTTTTGTTTAGAATCTTTCATGACTTATTTCACTAGCAAGTAATTAGGCTGTTGGGGTCGAGTCACTTCGTCAGAGCTTTTCAACACTGAAGTGAAAATTAAAGATTAAAGTGGAGATAAGTTTGCATCAACGAGGTTCCTCTGAGTCATGATCACGCACTCTCGGAATAATAAAATTAGATATCTTTGGTTTTAGATTGGTTAATGAACTTTTGATGCGAGACAAAAATTCAGTCAGATCAATAAGTCCGTTTTCAACAAATCAGAAGTGCTTTTTTGGATGCAAACAACGCATTAAGAAATACCCATTAGCTTTAGTTTATGGGTCATGTTGGTTTCTGCTGAAAACCTTCGTTTAGGGCTTTGAAATCGAGTTTTCTTTTCTGTTAGGAGGCCTATTGATTATTTTTGGATTTTTGTTCGAGGCCTAAACAAAGTTGGATTAGTCTCAAATTTTTGGTTTAGTATTTTTTATTTGTTAGGTTTCCAATTCTATTTTTTTTTTCAAAATTTTTAGAGAAACCCTTTTTTTAGGCTTATTTTTAGTGTTATTTTCCTTTTACTATTAGGTTTTTTTATGTTTTTAGTTTCCTTCTAGTGTAAGTTTTCTTTACTATAAATATTCATATACTGCAAGAGGTAAAATTTAACCTTTTATTAATAATATTTAAGAATTCTTTTTAAATTTTCTTTTAGTTTGTAGATTCAGATTACTTAAATGTCATTTCTACTGCAAATGTTGATCCTAGGTTACCTACAATGTACTTGGTAAGGGTAGAAAAAGCAATCAAACTTTAGAGTTGGAATTCAAATACTGTCATGTTATGATTGAAGAATTCGATATTGAAACAATAAATATGACAAAAAAAATTTTGGTACCAACAAATTAAATTTTTTCATCACAATTGAAATCCTTGTAACAATAGAGGTTCTTGCATTTGGACAATAAAAATTCCCACAACTACGTACCACCAAAGGCAACACACTGCGAGAAAAAAACCACAAAATTGACAACCAAGTATGTGAGCTATCCTTTGTCTCTTGATGCATGCTCCACAAGCATAGAATTGTCTTCTCGATCTCTGCTGTATATATGGCAGTCTATAAAAGATGATGCCATTAGCCTGCAAAATTCCAACAAACAAATACAGCGTTGATTATGAGAGTTTGAACACGGTTCGAGAAGCTAAATAATCAGCAAATTCAACACTCCACCTCAAATTTAATAAAATGGAAAGGAGATTTGAGACATTAACTAGTGAAAAGTGAAAGCCTGCATTAAATCTCGATATTTTCGGATAATAGATTTGTAAAAGTTATATAATAGATCAAAATGTTGGTGGGACATTAATTTAATTATATGAAAGTTTTTGAAGAGAGTGATGGAATTCATTAGGATATTACTTGGTTTACTCACCTTCATCTTGCTCCTCCATAACTAGATGGATACCCATTTTCTTGACCTTCATTTCTTGCGATTCACCGTCCACTAATTTAGCTGAAATCTCAATGTGAAAGGCATCATCACAAATCCACTTCACCAAATTTTGAAATGGTTGATAGTCGTTAGAAAACCCATCGTAATACTCGGTTACGTTCATCAAAAAAAGGTGATTGCCATTCCACCTCCCATCGCAATAACTCTCTGGGTTCTCCAACCATCTGCTCACGCCATAACCGTTTATTTTGAGATCAAATTGAATCAATGAGTAAAGTCCAAAAAATTCCAAAGCAAAACAGATGGCAATTCCTTTGACGTTATTGTAACAAGATGGATGATGATGATCTACCACCACAGACAGAGACAGTACTGATGTAGACCCCTCACCTTCACTCTTATACCTAAACCATTGCGGAATCTCACTTCCGGGTAGAATGATATGATATAATCCCTGTTCCATGCATATACGTACAAATTAATACATACCTATATAATTATATAGAGAGGGAGATACGCGGTGAGAAAGGGAAAGTAATTTAATTACCTGAAGCTGACTTTGTGATAACATGTTTGGCATGTTATCCATCTGAAACATAACCAATTTGTGGCACTCAGTGAATTTGAATTCGCGATTGTTTGGGCTACTTGCACTTGGTGGATTAATCCAATACCGTTCCAATGATTTGCAGTCATGTGCATTCACATAACAAATAGATGGCGGAAGTGAAGTCAACGTTCGGAGGCTAGTGCAACGTACCAAATCAAGGCGTTTCAGATTTTTGAGTTGAATAAGGCTTGCTGGTATGCTAGAGATTTTATTTTCCCTTAGATCTAATCTTTCTAAACAAGATAGGCAGCCAATATCCTTGGGAAAGGATTCTTCTGAGAAATTGCAGTTCCTGAGATCCAAGTGACTTAAAGTGTTCAAACAGGAGAGCAGTTCCAGTTGCAAATAAGTTGGAGCAAGAGTTCTCTTTCGCACACATGATGGCATCAATGGCTTTGGTGTCCTAAGAGATGATTTTTGTATATCATTTAGATAAAGCTTACTAAGGTTGCACAACTGTACAATGGACGGTGGTAGCTGTTCTATAGCGATTCCTCCCATGTCGAGGATTCTTAAATCCTTCATTCTAGAAAAAATATTGCTTGGAACACTTCTAAGCTTTCGGCAATTCCATAAAGTGAAAGATGAAAGGCCTTTAAGATCCTCAATTGATGAAGGCAAATCTTTTATTGCAGTTTTGTTCAAATAAAGAATCTCCAAACGATCCATAGGCCCCTGAATCTCTGGAAACTTATCAAGTTTTAAGCATTCTGATAGATCAAAATATTTCAGATTTTCCAACTTGATGCTTCTTGGAAGACTCCTTAGATTTTTACAGCTACTAAGATCCAATCTAACAAGCCTCTTATGAACTCCAATCGATTGGTGGACCTCAATTAGATTTGTGCATCCTCTAAGAACTAAATCCTCGAGATGTGGGAGACTAGAAAAGTCAGGAGTTTTATCCAAATATAAGGAGTGACTGAGATCTAGGTATTTTAACTTCTCTAGAAACTGGTAAGGAAACAAGCAATAAAAGAAATCAATCCGTTTCAATAAACTCAACAATACTTTTCATTTGTAAATAATTGGGAAATAAACTTTGATCATACCTTGATATGTGATAATATTTGTTTGATTTGGTTGTGATGAAGGCGAAGTTGAACAAGATTTTTTGGATGAAAATTGGATGGCAAAAAACTTTTCGGGTAACCGTCCCAATCAAGATAACATAATTCATTTGAAAGATAAGTAAGTTGTCCATGAGGTCTTATGCCACTGAGTTTGAGCAGTTTAAGTTTCTTCATCTTCTCAAAGACATCGACATTTACATGTAATTCTTCTTGTCGATGAGGATGAGACATGTTTAACATAATGCCTTTAATTTTTTTGGTCACCTAATCACCAAGAACATTGTGTAAGTTACCATGCAATGTTAAAACCTTAAAATCAACCAAGTTTATAATTGTTTAGATGGAAAAAAGATGAAGCATTTCCCTTTTTTTTTTTTTCACAACTTGAATGTCAAAATTTAAAATAAACATATAAGGAGTTAGAACGTACCGTATTCTCTCTGAGCACTTTATAGATATCTTCATAAAACCACAACCGACTTCGTTTGCCAGGATCATCTGGTGATTCTTGACGAACAATTTCCTTACCCATTTCTTGTATCAAATCATGCATGCACAACTTGTTGCATGAGATAGTTATCAATGACCGTTCAATAAGAACTGAAATTCGTGGGTGAAACCCATTACTGCCTAATATATCCATTACGTAATCTTTATCATACCCTTTGAAGAAACAAGCAATGTCAAGGAATAAATCCTTCTCCGTGTCATTAAGGCCATCAAAACTTATCTTAAGAACATCATGAATTCTTTCATTAGGAATTCTTTTCAAATTATCGAGTTCATATTCCCATTCTTTTATACTTCTTTTAAATAAAAAAGAACCCAAAACTTGAAGAGCTAATGGAAGGCCTTTGGCATAATTTACTACACTTTGTGAGAGTTCCCGATAATCCTCCAAGGGATGGTTGTTAGTGAAAGCATGCCAACTAAAAAGTTGAAGAGCTTCATCGTTATTCAACAACTCAACCTTGTACATTTCATCTACTTCATGCTCCACCAATAAACGTTCATTTCTGGTTGTTACAATGATCCTACTTCCAAAACCAAACCAATCACTTGCTCCGGCTAAACTTTCTAATTGCTTCAAACTATCCACATTGTCAAGAACTACCAGGACCTTCTTGCAACATAATCTTTTCTTTATCACATTGATCCCGTAGTCAACATTGGACATCTTTAGATCTTCTTCCATTACGATGTTATTCAAGAGTTGTTGTTGTAGATAAGTTAGACCATTTTGTTGTTTTGAAACTTCTTTCACATCACTAAGGAAACAACAACTTTCAAATTGATAAAGTATTCGATTAAAGACAACTTTGGCTATGGTTGTCTTGCCTATTCCCCCAGTTCCATAAATTCCCACAATGCACACATCCTTTGACCCATTATTTAGCAAAGCGATCACTTTATTGACACGAGAATTAATCCCCACTTCATACTTGGCAACATTCAATGGTATATTCTTCAATTTTTTTGTAATCTCTTGAACAATTTTTTGGATAAACTTCGCCTCATACCTATCAAGAAGTACACAGCATGTTAAAAAGAACTAGTGAGTCTGATAAAAGAAAACAAAAAAAAAAAAAAAAAATGGCATTAATATAATGAATATGTGAGGATCGGTTCCGTTTTACTTTTTTCTCGCATTTATTTTATTTTATTTTTTTTTCGTCTTCGGGTCATGTGGGCTTAAGGTTGGGTTATGTGCTTGGGAATAGTTCCCGACACTTCATTCATTCCATTGGGCATATAATTATCTTCATGACATTGTGGGATTTATTTTACACCTATGCCCGATTTCATTTTTAATTATTTGAGGCATTTGTGCGATTATCTTTTGAGATATTTTCATTTTGGACATTATTGCGATTATTTTTTGAGATATTTTCATGTAGGAACTTTTGTGCAATTTATGGAAGTTGTGGACATATGTTAGGGTAGATGGATGATAAGCATAGGGATGGCTGTGTGGCATGTGGAGGGCTAGATGGGTGACAAATGGAGGGTGGATGTGTGTGTGTGTGTGTGAGAGAGAGAGAGAGAGGTTGTGAGGACCTGTCCCTTTTTCATTTTTCTGTATTTTTTTTTTTTTCATTTTTTTTTTTGAGTTCGGGTCTTGTGAGATCGGACCAAGTCAAGTGTTTGAGGATAGTTCTTGACACTTCATTCATTCCATGCTTGCATATTCTTATCTTCATGACATAGTGAATTTATATTCCATTGTATGCGATTTTAACTTTCATTATTTGGGGGTATTTGTGCAACTATCTTTTAGGAGATATTTTCATTTGGGATTTTTGTGCAATTATCTTTTGGAGATATTTTCACTTTGGGGCATTTGTGTGATTATCTTTTAGGATATTTTCATTATTTGGGGGTATTTGTGCGGTTATCTTTTAGGATATTTTGCAAATAGTGAAAGTTAGTGCCAAGTGTTATGTTTTGATTTGGACAAGTGGATGGTGAAGATGAGTGTGTGTGAGAGATGTGGTGTTAGGGTAGGTTTATGTGACTTATTTCATTACCTTTAGTCATTTTTTTCCCTCTTACACTTCATCTTCTTCCTCTCACCAAGATTCCTCCATTGATGGTCAAGCTTTGAGCTTGCTTTTCCTTATCTTCCACTTACCTTCTTGACTAGCCATATAAGGGAGAAAGGTCGGGGACACTAAGGGGTTCAAAATGCTTGTCCCTATTTTTGGTTCCGGACATTTATGAGTGTTGGTGAGTCTAGGATTGGATTCTTGACTCGCCATATGAGGATTTTACAATGGGGACACCAAGGGTTTCAAAACCCTTGGTTTTGTTTTCAGTTTCAGGCATTTTAAGTTTTTGGGGCCGAGTTTGAGTTTGGATTTGGAGGCAGCCGTAGGAGACTTTGTCATTCCCTTCGTCTTCCTTGTCAACCTTTTGAAGTTTCGTCGCATTTGGAGCGTTTCCATTTTGGTGTCATTGGACACCTCAAATTAAGGTAGGGGTGTCTTATGCTAGTAACTTGCACTTTCTTCAGGTCTAATGGATGTGGGGAGGTGTAAAACATGCTTATTTTTTAAATGGATATGTGAGCCATGTTTTTACTTAATGTATATGTAATATATGCAATGTATAATGTGTAGGAATTATATGCTTATTGCCTTGGGTTGAATTAGGTATTAGTATTGTTGAGCATGATAGGAAGGGAGGGAATTTGAGTATTTGGTTTCTATATAATTGCTTAAGCATGCTTTATGTGGAAATGGTGACATTATGGATATTTGTGTTTATATGCATTTAGAAGACTTGATTAAATGTCTATTTGAGTAGTTTAGACACTATTTTAGCATTGAGATGCATTGAGTAATTTTTATCATGCGTGGGTCATGGTGTGAGTGCCACTTTGGCCATAGTTCATTATGGAAATCATTTAGTTCATGGGTTCATGGGTTGCGTATGCATGACATACTCGACATATTTAACAGATAAACGTTATCCAAATTTCGAAAAGGGGGGCTCGGTGCTCAAGGATTGAGATCCCTACTAAACATTGGCCAATGGGGTATGGAAGTGCACCATTTCATTTTCATGGCATAGAATGTGATTCCGGCATGAAACATTACCATTTTGCATCATGGCATCCACATGTGTAAGTTGAGTCATGGTGGAGTTCATGGGATTGCGTTGAGTTCAAAATTCATGGAGTTATATGGACTTTATTATGATTATAGTGTCATGGTAGTCATTTTATGACAATGTACTATATGTGGCTCATGATTCGTTTGTGGATATTACTTGACAATGTGTTATATTTGATACTATATTCAATTTTATGCCTTACTTGAGTTAAGTTAGACTATCATGATACAGAAATTATAGTTAGGGTGTATAATCCCCTTCATTTCACAGAGCTTATAATCTTATGTGACATGACCTTTCATCCTTGGGATGCCGAGCATTTCTCGCATGTCTTTGGGGATGTACTTTACTTATGTAATCCACCAATCCTACTGAGCCATTGTGCTCACCCCTATTATATAACCAGTTTTCAGGAAATGAGTTGTTTGGGAAGACTTTTAGTATAAAAGACTCATTTTTTACTCACTCGTGGACTTGGATCCATCTTCTCATTTTGGATGTATTTTTTATGTAAATGAATCTTTATGTACGTTTTGTGATTTCATTTTCAATGTTTTACTTCTTTTATTTTGTGTTTACAAACTCATATATTACTTGTGGAATATATATGAGTTGGTGATTTCAAGATGATGTATTTGAGGTCAATGAGCCATTTTGTTTTAATCTATGCTTTCCATATAATTTGCACACTTTTTGTGTGTTGCTCACATTCATTTTGTTCATTATGTTTCTTGGAATGTTCTAGATGGCATGAGTTGACTTTACCTTGTATTTTTTTTTACCATTTGGACATCTTTAGGACTCATGTATTCGATATAGGTGGAGTTTATAGCCATTACACCTTGAAAATGACCCATTTTTTAGCCCCTTGAAAGTTTCGGTCGGTTAGTGACCATTTTTGGCTCGGACCTACAGTACATCAGCTGAGAGACACGTTTTAGCCAGTTGACACATGTCATCAGCCGACTGAAAGTGTAGTTTCAGCTAGCTGACCCTCACCATCAGCCGGTTGAACCTCCTTGAAGCCTTCCATTTTCTGTTTTTGGGGACATCTTTGTTATGCTGATTTTGGATAACCATATCTCATTCATTTTCTTTTTATCCAAATTAGGTCATTCTTGAGTCCATTTTGAATGTCTTAAACTTAGATTTCCATTGATACCAACCTTATTCAAAAACACCAACCACAATGAGAATTATGACTCTTTTAATGAGACATATTCGTGCATGGTATCTCTTAACCGGGGAATGTTGTTTTATGACATCCATTTCTACAGAGCCTAGAACCTTGTTGGATGTTCATATATGCTTAGTATATCATAATTGATCTTTATTTAACTCA